ACAGCAGCAAGAGGGAGGGTTTAGCAGACTAGACTGAGTATTAAAAATTCCTTCGGTAAAGTTCTTCCTTAAGCTTTAACGATTCATTTGAATCGCCAATCATTTCACCAAAGCTCTAGCTATCTTCTAAACAAAGAAACTAAGCAAAAAGTCTATCTATTATCGAATTTAAGGGGGTATATACCTTTTTCATTTTCAAAAAATCGAATTTTTTTGCTTTATCCTAAAGAACAACTTCTTGAGTACATTTCCCCAAATTTTCATAGAGATTTGAGCAGTAGAAAAAAAGTTTCAGCGCTCCTAGTCGCTCGCCTCGTCCCCGCCCAAACCCAAACTTGAAACTTTAAACGCGAATATCTCGAAATGGTGTTTTTTGAAAAATGACTTTGCGGTGATATGCATTGGCAAAAACTACTAAACCGATTTTCTTCAAATTTTTTTTTTAAATGTTCGTGATGGATTTTATTAGTACTTCAATCGTTTTTCATGTACAAATTTTTATTTCGCCGAAATAGATAGTTTTGTAAGAAGTTTAGTGTTCAAAAACGTCATTTTTGGCATAAAACGTTCCCGTTTGCACAAAAAGAAAAAAAATTCTAAAAACGTTCCTTAAATTACAGTGTTTAGAGGAGGCATTAATTTATGCCCCTTTTTTGCGAATGTTTAACGAATTTTAAACTATGCGGTGTGTGAACGGTGTTAAAAGAAAAAGCCGAGAGTATGGTTCGATTTCAAATATGTATGTTTTATTGCTGGAAGCGAGAGCGAACGAACTGCTTCGTACCAGCGATCAAAAGCGAATGCAAAAATGAGAGTGCGCAGGTCCGAGAGATCAGCGAGCGCAGTCGCTTATCTCGGCTTATCTCACCCACGCATGCAGATAGATAAATGAGAAGCTTTTGTTTACATTGTTGTTGTCAGTGATGCTGACCAAAATAGAAAACAATAAATGGTTTTGAAATGATTTTAAATTGATTTCTGCGGCTGCTCCCGACATGCTCCCCCGTTGGAAGAGTCATGCTTCCAAGTGAAGTGGTTTCAAGGGGCAGTACCGCCAGCTTCCTCATTGCCCGCTTGCATAGTCCAGAGTCGGTTCGGATGACTGCACCTCGTTCGACGCCATCCTCTCCGGAGATGGTGCTCTCGATCCTGCCGAGGCGCCACCGCAAAGGCGGTATGTTGTCCTCCATGATGAGGACCATGCTTCCTGCCTGTATGTTGCTCACAGGAAGGCGCCATTTGGTCCGCTCCTGCAGCAGCGAAAGGTAGTCGGCGCTCCATTTGCGCCAGAAGGTTTGCTGCATTTGGCATACACGCTGCCACCGGCTCAAGCGGTCGATGTTCAGATGGGTGACATCAGGCTCATCCATTGCGGTGAATGTAGATCCAATGAGAAAGTGTGCAGGCGTAAGAACACTAATATCATCTGGGTTTTCTGAAATGGGACAGAGCGGCCGTGAGTTTAAAATTGCGGAAATTTCACAAACTAAAGTACGCAGTTCATGAAATGTGAGAATCGATTTTCCAACAACACGGATGAAATGATATTTTGCGGATTCGACCGCAACCTCCCACAGGCCACCAAAGTGCGGGGAACGAGGTGGGATGAAATTCCACCGGATCTCCATCGACGTAAGGGAATTCCATAGTTCAATGTTTTGAGGATCGCTCAGAAACAGCTGCCGAAGCTCAACAAGCTCGTTTTTGGCTCCCACGAAGTTCGTTGCGTTGTCTGACCAAATCGTTTGAGGCTTTCCCCTCAGGCTTATAAAACGCTTCAGGGCTGCTATGAAAAATTGCGTTGAAAGGTCTTCGACAACTTCCAAGTGTGTAGCCTTGCTGACGAAGCAAACGAATATGGCTATGTAGCATTTCGTAGGGGGCCTGTTTCTGACCTCTGACTTCGAATAAAAGGGGCCACAAAAGTCCACTCCAGAGATGACGAATGGCGGATTCGGTTGCACTCGGTCCTCCGGAAGCGGCGCCATGATGTGTTCGACTAGCTTGGGTTTTAATCTGAAACATTGAATGCACTTGTTGATGACAGCAGAAACCGTTTTTCGCCCTCCAATGGGCCATAATCTCTGTCGTAAAGCTGATAACGAGCTCTGTGCTCCTGCATGAAGGAACTTGCGATGAAAATGATCAATGATAGCTGATGTTATGTGATGAGACTTGGGAAGAATTATATGGTGCTTGGCATCGAAATCCAGCTGCGAATTATGAAGGCGTCCACCGACGCGCATTAGACCTCCTGCATCTATAAATGGGTTTAAGGATAGAAGTTTACTCCTCGGCGACAGCTTCATCTTCATGGTTAGTGCCTTGCGATCTTCGGCGAAATGCACTCGCTGAATCCCTTTAATGAGTAGATGAGTACCACCTTTGATTTCCTCGACTGTAAGCTCTCCTTTATGCCGTACTCGATCCTTGCTGACCCTTTGAAGGAACCGATATATATATCCGAAGACTCTCTGCATTCTCCCAAACGAGTTTCCAAACTTGCAACTTTGCGAGATGTCTATTTCCTGCGACAGCACCAATGCGCTGCGTCGACGCTCAGGAAGTTCCTTGACAGGGGGTGCGTCATCGGGCCATGTAGAAGAATCAGTGAGTAAGAACTGCGGTCCTTCACTCCAAAGCTTTGATCCCACCAGCTCAATAGGGGTACATCCACGAGATAAGATATCTGCCGGATTCTGTCGTGACGGTACGTGCCTCCAAGTCATTCCCTTAGTTCTCTCCTGTATCTGCGAAATCCTGTTCGAAACGAAAATGTTAAAGTCCGAAGGAGGTTGACGGATCCAAGCCAAAACTATTGTCGAATCTGACCAACAATGAAAAGAGCAAGATCGAGGTGCAATTTGTGCCACTTGAGAGACAAGTTCGGACAGTAAAAGAGCGGCAGATAACTCCAACTTCGGAATCGTGAGGGTCTTCAAGGGTGCGACTCTTGAATTTGAGCAAAGTAGGTTCGAAGAAACTATGCCTTGGTTCTCTGATCGAACGTAAATGCAAGCTCCGTAAGCTGCCATGCTTGCATCGCAAAATCCATGTATTTCGCACGATGAGTTATGCTGTAGAACAAAGCGTGGAAATTTCAAGCAAGCAACTGCGGCGATCTGCGACATGTGCTCCAACCAAGCGGAATGTAAAGATTACGGCAGAAACTCATCCCAGTCGAGTTTATCCTTCCATAAGACCTGCATGAAAATTTTATGTTTGGTTATGATCGGTGCTATTAATCCAAGGGGATCGTAAAACCTAGCGATAGCCGACAGAATGCTGCGCTTAGTTGCGGGTTTTTCAGTCCATTCGTTTGAGAAGCTGAAAAACAAGCTATCCGATAGCGTGTCCCAAGATAAACCTAACGCTTTTGTAACGTCAGTTCCGTCGTGGAACTTTAAAGTTTTCTCCCGATCCGAGTCATCCACTCCTTCTAGCGCCGCAGGTTCGTTTGGAACACCATTTGCGAATTGGGAAATGTCCTCTTTCCAAGAGCGCCTTGATTTGTTGACGAATTTCAACGACCTCCTCAATGGTGTCTCCTCCTGCGATTAAATCATCGACGTAGAAATTTGTGCGTATGATTTTAGCTGCTACTGGAAACTCCGCTTCTTCATCGTAAGACAGTTGCTGCATTGCACGAATTGCCAAAGTTGCGACTTCAGCTCTAAATTTCTAGCTAATTTGGCCTCGAGTGCTTTAAAACGAAGAAGCGCACGATCGAATGAATCTCCTAGAACATCGAAACTAGTTTTGGCAGGAAGTAGTACCGAATATTGGCCAGATTCAAGCCGAGTGTATTCCTGCTGAAATAGCTGCTCACATAGAGCTTCCTCTTTCGAAATGGTTTTTGTAGAATCTGCGCAATTGTCGATTTCCCAAAATTTCTTTAGTATCTCAGAGATCGACTCCGACTCCGAATGAGTGCTGGGCTCTTGAGATATGGAAACTAAAGATGAGCGAACGGAAGATCCTACAGTCAGACACCCTGAGACGATCCAGCCAAGTCTGGTTTTCTGCAGAGTGGGTAAATTGCTGCCTAATCGAATTTGTCCAATACAAAGCAGCTCGAAGAATATGCTTGCTCCAATAAGCAAGTCGATGCGTTGACTTTTGTGGAAGAGCGGGTCGGCGAGCTCGAGATTTTCCGGTATTTTCCATTCAGACGCGTTAAGATCGAAATGCGGGTGATAATCGGTTATTGACTGGGTGACAGCAGCTGAGAGCGAAGTGCTATACTTTGCGTTACTCGACAGCGCGAAAATATAAACCGATTTATCCGAAGCGAGCGAGGATTCACCGATTCCTGATATGGAGATGACTGACCGATGGACCTTGAGCTGAAGCTGATTGGCGAAACGAGAGGTGACGAAATTGATTTGAGAAGCCGAATCGAGCAGAGCTCTGCATGGCACGAACACGCCAGAGCGATTTTTTACGTAGACTATGGCGGTAGCAAGCAGCACGTATTCGGATCTAGTCGGCGATGAAGCTAAAGGCTGTATTTTGGACAAGGCTAGAGAGATGTGAGATGATCCTTGCGGAAGTATTTCTGGAGCAGGCTGGGGCAGGGTTGCAACGGGATTTGGTTCCAAGTGAAGAAGACTATGATGCCTCTGGCGGCAGTGTCTACAGTTGCCAGACTTGCATTGCTGTAGGCTGTGTCCCTTTCGTAGGCAGTTAAGGCAAAGATGTAGCCTTTTTGACTCTCTATACCGCTGATTGGGTTTCAATCCTAAGAATTGTGGACATTTTGTCAAATAATGTTCCCTAGACTCGCACAGGGTACATGCTGGCATAGTTGATGATGAAGCAATGAGGGTGCTACGACAAAATTTGCTAGCTACTTTTCCAACCTGTTTGCTAGGTGCTTGGTTTACCATAGCGTATTCCAAATTTTCCATCATGCGGCATCTAAGATCCAAAAACGATGAGAATTTATCCCAATTTGGTAGCTCCTTGGAAGGCAACCCTTCTTCCCACCTCTCCTGGGTCTAAATGTCCAGTTTTGAAACGATGAGATGGATTAAAAGGCCGTCATAGATTTCCTTCGTAGAGGCCATAGTAGCCAGGGCGCGCAAATGAGAATTTGCCTTGTCGCTCAACTGCCGCAGGCTACTTGCGGATCCCTTCTCCACCCCTGGTAGCTTGAATAAAGACCGAACATGAGCCTGAAAGTGCAATAATTTATTATCAAATCTCGAGGTTAATAATTCCAAAGCCCTGTCGTAATTATTTTCCGTGGGCTCTAGAGAGCGAATTGCATCCAGCGCTATGCCGTCCAAACATGCACGAAGATGCTGGAATTTTTCCACCTTTGTTAGGTCTTCGTTCTTTCCCACTACCGTGTTGAACATGGCGAAGAAATCCGGCCAATCGATGTATGCTCCGCCAAATCGCGGAAGCTGAAATTCCGGTAGCCTGGTGGGCCGCGAGTTGCACTTGAAGGCGGCAGTGTGGCCACCGAGGATGCCATGCAGCTCAGTTGAATTTGCCAACGACTTTCTCTTTTCACTATTGAGATGGCGGCAGATCCTTCCTTTCGTCTCACAATATGCCGTGGTAAAGGTTAAGCGCGCATCCGACTCCAGCTCCTCGATCACAAGCCGTTCGAGGTTAAGTCGAGAGCTATCGAAATCAGAGTACATGCGCTCGATTAAATCCAACCGCACCTGCAACTCACTTTCGTCGAATTTGGCCAACTGCTCCTCTGTTAGAAATAAATTTAGGGCAGCCAGCTGGCGTAGAGAATTTGCCTTTGCCCGATAAAACTCCTCGCCGTCTGGAGCGTGAGGCGCGAGCTCAGGTTTTTTCGTATGTTTGGTTGACATTTTGAGTTTTTATTTAAAGTCTGTAGGGTATTCGAAAGTCACCGCACGAAATTTGCACTGCACCTGCACTTGGGCCAGCGAAAACCAAAGACCGAATTTGAGGGTAATGACGGAATGAGAGTGCGCAGGTCCGAGAGATCAGCGAGCGCAGTCGCTTATCTCGGCTTATCTCACCCACGCATGCAGATAGATAAATGAGAAGCTTTTGTTTACATTGTTGTTGTCAGTAATGCTGACCAAAATAGAAAACAATAAATGGTTTTGAAATGATTTTAAATTGATTTCTGCGGCTGCTCCCGACATACAGGATACTACTTTAAACTAATGAAATATTTTTAGTTTTGCGGGTTCAGTTGACCCGTTCGATTGTCAACAATCTAAACTTTCAGAAAATATGAATGATTCATTTAATAAAAACAATAGTTACATACATAAAAAAATCTAAACTTTTTTTTTTGACAAAAAGTGGTATATACCCCCTTAGGATTTGAAACTTTAAGAAATTAATTAGGCTGCGGCATGACCGAACAACGGTCCAAAACATAATTGATGATTTGATGAAAAACACTAACAATCAATTCGTTATTAATTCTAAATTATTTAAATAAATAAAAACCCTATCTGAGAATCTTCAAACAGTACTTTCAAACCAAGAATTTCCATTCAGAAGACACCATCTTCGCTTGCTCATTTACGATCTAATGAATTTAATGGATAGAATTACACTACCCAAAATAGATATTTTCAACACTAAAATTCTAAACGCTGAAGAAATCCAAGAAATTTATAAACACGAACACAAACCTGTAGTTATTACTGATATAACTAACTATTACGATATAACAAGAACTAATTATAATATATATAAAATACCCCATTATAACAAACCGTTGTGAAGTGTTTAACGCAAGATCCATCTCACACAACGATGGAAAACTATTAATTGATAATCATGTTGCTAAATGTATCAATAGGTACTATGTAATTTATAATATTAAGACAGAAAGTACTTGTTTTACTACACTGTTAAATGGAGAAAAATCTGTTTGTAATAAAATCAGGGAATATAATAAATAACTTGATGTAATCCAAGAAGGATCCATTTTTGTAAATGGTCATAATACTGTAAACTATACTCATCTAAATGGGTCATTTTTAATTACTTTTAATTGTACTACTATAATAAATAATATACCCTACACTAATCTGGACCATAAGATAATAAAATATATCACTGCAAAACAGAAAAATATTTTTTTATTATCCGAAGACCTTATGTCAAAGGAATCGGAACTTTCATTCGATAACTTTAACATATTAAACCCTTATATTTAAATAAAACAAATTCAAATCCCAATAACGTTATTACTGATCATATTAACTTTAATATATTTAATCATCACGCTATTATTCAAATTTAAAAAATATCTAATATGCAAACCACGGCAAATTCATATTGAAATAACCCCAGAAAATAATATGTCCGTCAACTAAAGATGAAATTATAGTCGAATTGACCAATCATCTAAGTGCAATTTATCCATCACTTCCAATGAATCGGGACGATTCAATATAGAAGGGGGAGAGTTATCCAGCTCGAGAGCAAAGCCGCCTTACCCAAGTTATAAACAAATTCTTTTTAATAAATTCTTAGATGAGAACGCTATCTATATAATATATATATATATAATTCTTAGCTGGGAACCCATTACTCAGCTTTCACACAGAATCTCAATTAGCTCACACACTTCAGTATAAGTTTATTATTAAGATTCAATGGCGCCGCGGTCCTTCTTACATAAACTAAGCTGGGTCCAGCTATCGTAGCCCCAAAACTGCAGAATAATCCGTTTAGCATAATTTCACAATCGAACAGAGAATTTGATCAGCCAATTTTCCGACTCCCTTGAATCCAACTCTGTCTAAATCGATATTAAGGAAAAGTTGTTATTAAGTGTGTTGGCTATGGCTGCGTACCGACGGAGCCCCAATCTTCAGCAAAATATGATGCGGCGCACAGAGTGATTATCCACCTGTGGCGGCGTTGGAAGTTCCTCGGAGTGGCAGTCTGTTTCCCAAGGTCCCAAATAAGAAGTCGAAAGCTGTAGTGACCAGTTATGCTTTTACGATAAAGAACTATTCAACCCACCCTCGCATAGATAAATATAACTTAACGGCGCCAGAGGCCTAGGAAATTTACTCTCTACAAATACCAATATCAATAAGTTGAGATAAGCAGATCAGTCGCGACGGCCAAAAATCATACGATTAAACTGGCTTATCTGCACTTCGTTTCCAATTTTGCATTCATTCTCTGATCTATGCTCTTGGCAAAACGTTCGATCATTCGGCTGTGGCCTAAGTTATATATTTAAAAAACGTGTTAAACTTTACACAATTATATAATCGCGATCTGCGGCCAATAGTTTAGTCAGGCGGCTATTAATATTAACAAGTGGATTTTGTGAGAGTGAGCGCAAGGTAAACAATTACAGATTTGTGGGTTCCCAATCTAACCGATTTTTCTTAGGGATCCGCATAGAAAGGCGTGACGTCAGACGTATACCCGTAGACCCCACTTAGGGAGTCTTATACTACTTTAGGGCGGTTACAGTCTGAACGTCTTAGGCCAGCTAACCCCAATTGCCTCAGCTCCAATTTGCCCAAATTCTTGGTAAAAGCGGCCCAGTGGAGAACATAACCTAGGCCGGAGTGATTACGCAACCACCCCCGCGTGTTGGCAATTGGACACCGGCCGTTAGAAGCCGATGCTATTCGGATCGCGGGAACAACAACACTTATCCAGTGCCACCTAGCGACAACCCGAATCGTGCCGCCGCAAGGTGCCTCGGTCGTGAACAGAGGACAGACTAGCCACCACCAAAGGCTTCCCCATCGGACATCGTCCGGCGATCGATGATCGTCCACTAGGAATAAAATTCGTGTATCAATTCGTTTGCCTTTAAAAGAAACTCTCTAATTGGCATGAGTGCGGTATTTATATAGGTCATTTAATGTAGGTTTTATTATAAATTTTGACCAACAGCTCCTCAACGTCAACGTGAACTTGGGCCCAACTTTGCAGCGCGTCTTATGGAGGTCGTGAGTACACATTAAAACTGACAATGCGTAAATACCTATTTTAAAAACCTGTAAATGCCGCTCTGTCGTAATTCTAAGTCGAGAGAAATTCATTTAGTTTATATTCATTAAAATATTGTTAGTCTTGCTTATAAATTTAGAATCGATTGAAAAGAAATACTATTGAACACGAAATGAAACATTAAACTTATGTGTTAGGAAATTCTTGAATTTTTATAAATGAAATCAATGGATAATTATGTGGATAAATATAATTATAAATGAAGTATAGGATTTGTTTAAAAATGAAGATTGAATAAATAATAACCATGGTCTGTCGAGTACTTATGTCAATCACTTCCTTAATAATGTGGTAGAGATCATTTAATCTTGGCCTAGGGACAATACAAGAATTTAAGTAACATTGTCATGGAAGGGAATAACAACATCTAGATTCCCAGAAGGAATTTATCAGATTCTCAGTTGCTTTTTAGCGTGTCGGAGCGCTTCAATATCATATTAATTGTTTTGATAGCTTAGCCTTAGTCTCAATTGATTGTTCTTTTGATTATTACGCACTAATAATAAGTGGTAGCGTGCAACCGTACCATCTCAAGCAAGGAAGAACCCCGACATCCGGCGAGCTAGACCCGAGCCTAGCAAGAGTGCGTATCCCAAGCTTGAAGGTACAAAGGTCCTCTCTAGTAGCATTCACCATCTGCTGTTAGATGACCGACTATCGAAGTGTAGAGATAAAATTAGCTCTGCAGCACCCCCGTACACTACACATTTGGCGCCCACCCGTGGAGCTCGACAGTTTACACACTTGTTTGAGTACACAAAGCTCTAAGACTGAACCATCCTTTTTGAAACACATAAAACTAATTTCATTAAATTAACATATTGGATTGAGAGCATCGATTTGGAGAAGATAGTCAAGTTTAGGATTATGCGATTTCAGTTCAGATTAGAATTGATCGACCAAACATAGCCATCAGGAAACCATAGGAGCTCACCACCATATGTTTCTAAACTGTGATTTGTTTACATTTTGATTTTCTTGGAATACAATATACTCTTACTTTAACGTCTGTATATCGTCCGATTTCATAGTGAACAAAAAAAAAAACGAGAGACCATAGACCAAATACAACCCACTTATAACTATAAATTCAACTGAGAGATTTCTGATAAAAGTGATCGACATAAAGAAAGACAGACCTAATAATTAAATAAATATATATTTTGATTATAAAAAGAAAAAATAAATTAATATAAAATGGCAACAAAAAATAGTTCGGAAAGGGTACCAGAAGTGCCACAAGAAACTGAAAACTGCTGTTCTATATGCAAAGCAACATTTGCTCCAACAGTTTTGACAGCAACAGCACCTTGCAGACATACATTTCACAAGCAATGTGTTCTTGATCACATAAAGAGCACACAGACGTGTCCTATTTGTAATACAGATTGCAACGAAATGAATCTGTCTTATTCTAATAACACTTTGTACGCTGAACTAAACGCCGCAACAGCTGGACCATCTAGCATTAGCGAATATCAAGATAACAATGACAGCGCAAGTTACCAAGTAAGAAGAAACACCAGATCAACCAGAAACCGAGGTACACCTCCAAGACGAGGAATGTCAACTAGAAATACACAAAGAGGGAATTTAGATAGAATCCTAACAGAACCACCAGCCACGTCCGGTATGACGTTAAGTACTCAAGTAGAGATTACCAACTATATCCAGTCTACCATAAGCTCACAGCAGGCTCAACTAGTTGATCAACTCACCTCTTACCTGGCGAAGACTATTGAAACATCTATTAAAAGTCAATTGGAAAACTTACAATTATCTCAGCCCACTCAAACAAATTTCACAGCTAGTATTAATCCACCGCTTAGGGAGAACC